TACCAGGTGTAAATGTTACACTCAAATTGACAAGAACACCAGTGGGAATGAAAGGCCAATGCGAAACTTTAAACGTTGGAGGCTTATCATACTTTCCTAAAAAGAATGGAACAATAAAGCTTGAATTTCAATGCTATTTTGACGCTTTGGGAAACCCCGCACAAAAATAAATAATTGCTAAAAGTTTTTAAAATCTTAGACTACAGAGAAACAAGTACAATTTACTGTTCAGTCACTAGTTATTAAACGGCCGATATGATTCTTATTTCTCCATACTTTTGGGCCTGGAGTGGAAGATTTTGAGCGGGATCACATAGGAGGGGATGGGGATCAGTTGTCACTAAAGGTGTATAAAGGTGTGTAAAAGGGGGACTGCAGAAAATTAACCTCCAATTAACTGCCAATGAGGAGAGACCGTATGAATATTATAGAGCCTTGAAGGGGGATCAGGTACATACTAGCCAGCCCCCCAACAAGGAATAAATAATGACTGGTCCTTCATTCCCTGTCTCTCTAATATAACGTATTTCCTGGCCCACAAAAAGAACAAGCAGAATTGTATAGAACATTACAATGACCTGGCTCTTCTCATTTTGTTCGGAAAAAATGTGGACTTTTTCAAAAAATGAATGGTCTTATCGGCAGCTGGTTTATTGAAATAAGGAGGGCGGGGGAATCATTTGGAATCGAGGATAAACGATTAAGAGTGGAGAACGAATTGTCAAACCCAGGAATCGGAAATCAGAAATGAGGAATACAAACAAAAAAATTGGAAATTGGAAAGATCATTAAAGGCCTCCAAAGTAGTTGATTAATCGAGAAGGGAATCTTCCTCGTAGCGCCTAATTCCTCTTTCTTCATTTATCAACTCATGAATGGCATGAATTTCACATCTAAAATCTCATTCTAGTTCAGAAAAATATACAAGTCTTTCCAGGTAGCTGTAAGAATTCTCATTTTTCACTTCACATTCGATTTCTAGTAACATTCTGTAATTATTCCTGGGCAGCTTTTGAGAGCGGAATACCTTTTAAAGAGGATTAAAATAAATCAAAAGAGAGACGCTCACCACAGAATGATGCATTTACAATTTCAATTCCCGAAGGATATCCCGTTGTTCCACTGATGTTAAAAAGGAGCATGCTCAAGGCGATAGTTCTTCGTAGCCGACTGATCGAAATCATCATCGTCTTTTTAACAAATAGCTGGGAAGTAAAACAATGAAGATTAGTTTAGATGTCAAATACGTCTGCGAGTAGAAACGTGAGATTTAACGTGGAATTTTTGATCAATGTATGTTATCCTCTCTGAAATGCTTCTCCCCAAAAGGTGTCTTCTAAAGTAAGCTTTTGTTTGAAACGCTAATACACGCATGTGTTTTACAAATGCCACGAGTGAAAAATGATACAGGGCTGAGTAAGTTTTTTTTTTTTGTGATGCATGCCAGAATTTAGGAAATAGGCAGTAGGTCTAACGAATTCGACATCTTTAGGGAAAAAAATTGGTGGATAAGGTTGAACCGATGTATTGCTCAAGGTTCGCGAGGTTGAAAAAAAAAAACTTTGTCCTTGTTTTGCAAGTGTACTTCACTATTACACTTCATTTCGTGTTACATTTTAAAATTCACGGTATTTTTTTTCTCACTTAGGAGATCAATGACTTACTTTCCCCTATTGGGAACAAGACATAGTCTGTTGATAAAAAAGAAGTGGGAGATCATTTGAACTATGCTTCTGTAATTATCATAGATAAAGACGATTACAGTCCGGCTCCAAGTAAGGCTCCAGATCTAACGAGGATCATTTTGAATTCATGTCACTAAATAATATTTGTATTTTATATACCAGTACATGCAAACTGTTTGTTAACTATACATCTGTCTCTTAAGAGTTTCTTGCGCAGTAACACTCCACCGATGGCTGGCCCTACGTCATCCGTATTTGTTGTTGATGGTGTTGATGGTGACAATGTAAGTTTTCCTAGTGTTTATAGATGAAACTTATATTGAACAATACTGAGAAAGCATTTTTGTTTGCAAACTGAATTCTCCGGGTAGCTGCATCAGATACTTCAATGAGTTTCTTGCCTATGGCGACAATCACACCAAACAAGTTATTTACAATGTAGCTGTTGCCAGCCGAAGCTTTTCCATTGAAAAAAAAATCTATATCCTGCTTTTAAGCTTACATCCTCTGCCTTTTGATAATATTCATACTTCCCTTACAAGTAGATTTCTCACCAACTGGCTAAATGACTTCAGCGTCATACTTTCAAGATCAATATTTTCTTTGATGAAATAAAACACATTTTTGTTGCAGAATGTAACTGGTGTGTAGATAGATGGACCTATCTCATCAAATTTAATAGATGAGAGCTGTCGGGGGGATCTGACGGAGACTAATACTCCCAAAGAGGTGTCTATTTAATGGAGATCTTAGAAGACAAACCCGTGTCATTTTTGGTATTAATATCTCTCCTATCTGTTGTAATAAATGTTTTTTTTAACTGAAAAAAACCGATCAGCGAATTCATCATAAAATAACATGGGTATAAATCAGTGATCAGTACATAAAATGCTATTAAAAATGCAATTCACCATCGATACAAGTTAAGATTAAATTAAAAATTATCAAAAAAATATTTACAGTGATAAAAAACCTATACACTACATTTGTGTT